TGTGAATCTACTGTGCAAAAGGCCCTGTATGTGAAAGCAATATTTGTCAAGCTTTGGCGCGTTTAAGGGTTGTGGACTTCAACTCCCAGAATCCCTCAGCCAAACATGGTGGCTGGGGGAATTCTGGGAGTTGAAGTCCACATGTCTTAACAGCTGCCAAGGGTGAGAAAGACCGCTTAGAGCAGGGGTGTCAAACTCAATTTCATTGAGGGCCGCTTCAGGGTTGTGTTTGACCTTGGGGGGCTGGAATGGGCGTGGCCAGCTCGACGTCACTTGTGTCGAGGGCGCCTATGGCGGCCCGAGGGCTCACAAGCTCCATTTTTCAGCGACGACGGCCTCCTGTAACCCTCCGCCAGAGGAAACAATAATTCCATTTTCCCTGGCACCGTGGGCCAGTCCTTCGCTGTTTCCAAGATGGCCCCGCGGGCCAGATCTAAGCACCCTGTGGACCAGATGCGGCCCACGGGCCTTGAGTTTCACATCCCTGGTTTAGAGAGTGGGGCCCTGAATCTGAGTTTGCGTTTGCTGCTAAATCATGGTTTGATTCAAAAGCAGCTTGTTTGGGGTTTGGCCTAAAACATGGGCCCAGCCTTGTGGTTGACAATTTTAACAGGCTGCCCAGCTAATGGTTTGTAATTGCAAATCCCAGAATTCCCTAGGTAGCACGTTGGCTAGGAATTCTGGGAGCTGCAGTCCGCACATACTCACAGTTGGAGAAGGCTATTTAAAATACTACAGACCCTTTGACCAGTGGCCCAGAGACCCTCATCCGATTGCCATTTGTTGCAAAGTGTGGTGGAATACAGCTAGTCCTCGAATAACGACCACAAACTGAGCCCGAAATATCTGTTGCTAAGTGAAGACAGTTGTTGAGTTTAGCCTCCTTTTGTGACCTTTCTTGCCATAGTTGTTACGCCAAATCGCCGCGGTGGTTAAGTTGGTTAACGTGGCTGTGAAATGAATCTGGCTTCCCCCTTGACTTCGCTTGTCAGAAGGCCAACAATGACCCCAGGATACCCTTGCCGTCATAACTACAAGTCAGTTGCCAAATGTCTGAATTTTGATCAAGTGACCCGTTGGGAATGCTGCAACGGTCATAAGTCACATTTTTCAGAGCTGTTGTAACTTTGGCCAGTAAATGAACTGTTGTAAGTCGAGGACTACCTGTATAGTTCAGAGTCGCAGGAGGGAGGGGCTCTTTCCCAGAGGGCGGAGCTTGGAACGTCTGGTGGGCAGGGAGAGAGGAAGGGGTGGGACCCTCCTTAGCCATTCATGGGGAACAACTACAATTATTGCAATAATGGTTGTTTTAATCTGACAAGGTTTCCGTTTGTAGGCGAAGAACAATAAAGGAACTATTCATACGTCACTCCGCGTGTCGTTCTTGGTTATTTTGGGTCTGACAAGATATGCTCTCCAATTCACCTTTCTCTGACTTTTTTTTCCTCCCTCTCCTAAATTTCTTCCCTGCAGTGTGCTCAGAAGAGTGACTGGAAGTCGGCCAAGTCGATGTACGACTTCCACGCCCTGGATATTAATGGCCACGATGTCTCCCTGGAGATATACAGGCAAGTTGGTTCCCATCTGGGTTTGTTTGCTCTGGTGTCTTGGTTTTTTGAGTGGGTTTTGGTGTTTGTCATTTTTAGGTTTTTTTTAACCATTTTGTGATCAGGCAAGCAAGGGTATCCAATTATTGGTGACTTTTAAGACCTGTGGACTTCAACTCCCGGAATTCCCCCAGCCAACATGGCTGGCTGGGGAATTCTGGGAGTTGAAGTGCACTGGTCTTAAAGGGGCCAAAGTTGGACACTCGGCTTTTCGACCTTACCTTTCTTGGGTGTACTTAACCCAGTTCCAATGCCCTCCGTCCCCTGTGGTCAGGTGATTGCGTGACCCACACTTAAGGCCAATTGCAGCTCCCTGCAGCCATGTGTTTTACAGTGGTTTCATCAAAAACCAGTGTTTACTGGTTTAGCATCCCCAAGGTCACATAATCAAAATTTAGATGCTTGGCAGCTGACTCCCATTTATGACGGTCATAGCGATTCCCTTTTGTGACAAGCAAAATCGACGGGGAAGCCAAATTCCCTTAACAATTGTGTCACTTAACTACAGTGATTCCCTTAGCAAGAAAGGGCAAGGGAGCTCGTAAAATGTGGGCAACATTCACTCAATGACTGTCTCGCTTAACCACAGAAATGTTGGGCTCAAGCTGTGGTCGTAAGTCGAGGACTCCCTGTGACCTGTCTCTTTTGTTGCGCTTGTGTCTCTCCAGGGGCATGGTCTGCATCATCACCAACGTGGCGACGCAATGAGGCAAGACTGACGTAAACTACACTCAGTTTGTCGAACTGTATAGTAGATACGCTGAGAAAGGTTTACGCATTCTAGCCTTCCCCTGCAATCAATTTGGCAAGCAGGTAGGAAACGGGAGAGGGGGGGGCTGTTTGTGTGTGTGTGTGTGTGTGTGTGTGTGTGTGTGTGTTAATGTCACAATGAAATGATCCTCCTCCTCTTCCTCCTAATTGTCCTCTAAGGGGAGCCAGCATAATATAGTGGGGAAAGTGATGGCTACCCAGATGTTTGTCTCCCTCAGCTGTGGAAGCCGATTGGCTGGATTTGGGCCGGTCTGTCCATCCCAGCCAAAGAACCAATCAGGCATGGTGTCAACGCACGAAACATTTCTATGCCTGTTTTAGGGTTGCCGTGAACAGAAGTGGGGGAGAAATTTGAAAGAGCAGTTTGGAGCCGAAAGTGCATTCCATTTTTATCTTGCAAAGATAGTAGCTAAGCTACCGGAATTTCTGCTGTGCAGATCTCTAATTGGAGGATGTAATTGATGGCTCTTGGCTATGGATGTGTGTCGTTGGAGAGTATGAATTATGATACACCCAGAGGGGTCAGAGTGAGCCTCATGCAGGTCATGCCGACATGTTCGCTCTTAAGAAATCCTTTGAAGTTTTTGAAGCTTGGCTCGAGGCTCATGGTTTAATTAGGGCGACTGCTGGAATCCTGACACACAGTACAGAAGGGACTGGAAAAAGGAGTGGGAGACCCAAGTTCTATCCCCCTCAGCCATGGATTCCCATTGGCTGAATTTGGGTCAATCCCTCCCTCTCCGCCCAAGAGTCAATCAAGGGTAATATGGAAGGGCTGGATAAGGTGTGGGGAGACCCAGGTTCTAGTCCCCCCTCAGGTGCCCGAAACTCTTTGGTTGGCTTTGGGCCAGTCCCTTCCTCCCAGTCCAACAGCCAATCAGGAGTAGTGGGGAAGGGGCTGGGCTAGGGATGTGGAGACCCGAATTCTAGTCTCCAGAGAGGAGATAGCTAGTGTGACTTAATGGGATGCTGGACTAGGAGTGGAAAAACAGCCAAGAATCTACGACAAGGTGGCTAAAACAATCTTCAATCCATCTTTACACCATGCATTGATACGTTCGCTGTAAACAGTGAGGAAACACAGTTCAAAAACATCTGGATCTGCGACTTGAAACAGACAATGCTAAGGACAACTGTTTAAGATTGGTTTAACCATCTAAAAGCCACCTTTCCCCCTTTTGTTTCTGTCTTCAATAGGAGCCTGGTACCGAGGAAGAAATTAAAGCATTTGCTGAAACGTACGGGGTGAAATTTGACATGTTTAGCAAGATTGAAGTCAATGGGGATAACGCTCACCCTCTCTGGAAGTGGCTGAAAAGCCAGCCCAAAGGCAGAGGCACTCTGGGAAAGTGAGTTCTCCCTGCCCCCAATTCTGAAAAGTCTCTGAAATGGCAATAGCTGATATACCACACAAACACTTATGGGTGTATTTTTAATTAAAATAAATGTCTAAAACAAGTGTTTTTGGAACTTGACAACTTAAATCCCATGTGGACTTCAACTCCCAGAATTCCCCAGCCAGCCTGTTGTAATCTATTTGAAGGTTTAATAATGATATGATACCAACTTCTAAAATTGCTTTTTTTTCTCTCCCTTTCTGGAGTGTGGTATTATTATTTTTATTATTACTATCTTCTTTTTATTCATTAAACATGAAATTTTATTTTTATTCATTAAACATGAAATTCAGTCAACGGAACATTTAAAAATGTATCACGAATGTTATTAATATTGTTACGTGTTATTATGACTACTACTACCGTGTTTCTCATATAATAAGGCCGAGTCTTATTTTTTTTTGAGCCCCGAAAAAATGGCTAGGCCGTCTTTTTGGGGGTGACTTAATTCCCCCCCCTTGCATCTTTGGGTGGGCGGGCAGCGACGGCTTGGATGTTGACCTCGGTGTTGGTGGGGCACTTCGTATCGGGGTCAACGCAGGCAGCACCATATCCAGGTGTGCAACAAAAGTACTTCCTAACGGCAAGCCCCCCCACCATTTCCCCCCCCATTTCGCATGTTTTAATATAGGCCTTAATTTGGGGGGAGGGGCTTAATTTCATTTCATGCCTATAAAACATGCTGGGACTTCCTATTGGGGGAGGCCGTATTGTTGGAGAAACAGGGTATTATTATTCCTGCTTTTCCCAGTTGGTTGTGTTGGCTTTCAACTCTTAAGAAGTCTGTCGGCTGGCATTATGGTGTTCAGCACCAGGACTACTACTGCTGGATCATACTTTGGAGATGGCATTTTTTGGTGTCGTATTCCAACTCTGCTTTCAAAAAGCTAAGCTGCTAGTCTTGAGGGTGGCTGGTTTGAAGAGAATACAATAGTTTTTGACTCTGGGAGGAAAAATCGGAACAAATAAATGGGCCATTGTGTTTCTTTGATTTTGACCCCATTTTCAAACAGGGGTCTTACTGGCGAGAGGTACCAGCCACTATTCATCTTGGTTTGAGTGTGGTTTAGCACAAGAAGGTTTTGAGTGAAACACTAGAAGTAAAAAACACTAGAAGTAATAAAAACCTTTAGAGCTAAATGGTCTTTCTTTCTTTCTTTCTTTCTCCCTAGTGCTATAAAGTGGAATTTTAGCAAGGTGAGTACCTTCAGCTCTTTTTTTTTTTTTTTTTGGATGTGTTCTTCTTATTAAAACTTTTAAACAAAAACATGGCAAAACCCACTTAACAACTACTCTGCTTAACAGTGGAAATTGTGGGCTCAATTGTAGAAAGTGAAGGAATACTCTATGTCAGGGGTCCCCAACCACCGGGCCGTGGAGCACTCTCTACCGGGCCGCAAAGAATTTTTTTTTTAAAAAAATGGTGGCTTTCTTCGCCTTCGGTGAATGCTGCTGGGATCGGGGATCAAGGACACAAATGAAAGAAGGGGAGGGAGGAAGCAACCGAAGCCTGTCCTGCTCTCTGGCTCAGCTCTCTCAGTCGCTCTCTCGCTCCTCCACCAGCCCAGGAAGAAACTGCTTCAAAGAAGGGGGGGGGGGGCTTTTCCTGTCGCCGCAGCGCCTCCGAAGCGCCCGTTTCTCCCCCACCCCGCCCGCCCGTCCGCCCGCCCGCAGTGCTCCGTTCTGCCTGCCTGCCTGCCTTCGTTAATGGTTGAATCGGAACAGCTTCGGCTGAGTAAAAGAGGCGAATAGTTATTATTCTCAGCCGAAGCTGCTCCCAAACAACCAGAAACTAAGGCAGGCAGGCAGAATTTTTTTAATTTTTTTTTCCTGAAATTTCCCCCTTAAAATGAAGATGCGTGTTATACGCCTGTGCGTGTTATACGCCGATAAATACGGTATGTCAATATTATCAATTTTCAATCTTGCATTAAAATGGTGATGCA